GTTGTTAGGAACTGGTTTTTATTTGGACTTAAAAGATACTTTTGTAGTACCGTCTTTTAGACGGAATTTGGTTTCTGTTTCTGTATTGGACAAATCAGGTTATTCTTGTTCATTTGGAAACAGTCAATTCAGTTTATCTTTTAATTCAAATGTTGTGGGAACCGGTTACTTGAGTATTTATGACAACCTATATTTGCTTGATACAATTGCTTCTTATAATGAATCCTTGCATGTGGAATCACGTGGTACTAAGCGTAAATTAAATAAGGAAAATTCGGCGACATTATGGCATAAGCGCTTAGGTCATATCTCAAAAGGTAGAGTTGAGCGTCTTGTGTCTGATGGCATTTTGGATTCCCTTGATTTTTCAGACTTCGACGTATGTGTTGAATGTATTAAGGGAAAACAGACCAAAGTTAAGAGATTAGGTGCCAACAGATCTTCGGATGTCTTAGAATTGATACATACGGATATTTGTGGGCTATTCCCTACAGAATCCTGTAATGGTCAACAATATTTTATATCATTCATAGACGATTACTCACGTTATGGGTACTTATATCTCATTCATAAAAAATATGAGTCTCTGGACATGTTCAAAGCCTATAAAGCTGAAGTTAAGAATAAACTCAATAGAAGAATTAAAACTGTTAGATCTGATCGTGGTGGTGAGTACTACGGTAGATATGATGGTTCAGGTGAACAACGTCCAGGACTATTTGCTAGATACCTAGAGGAATACGGTATCGTCCCACAGTACACCATGCCGGGTTCACCTAGCATGAATGGTGTAGCTGAAAGACGAAACAGGACTCTTAAGGATATGGTAAGAAGTATGATTGCTCATTCTTCTTTACCAGAGTCTCTCTGGGGAGAAGCACTAAAGACAGCAGCTTACATTCTGAATAGAGTACCAAGTAAAGCAATTGCTAAAACACATTATGAGCTTTGGACTGGTCGAAAGCCCAGTTTAAAGCATTTATATATTTGGGGATGTCCAGTTGAGGTAAGGCCTTATAGGCCAAATGAAAAGAAATTGGACTCCAAAACAGTTAGCAGCTACTTTATTGGGTACTCTGGACATTCTAGGGGCTATAAGTTTTATGATCCCACACTAAGGAATATTTTTGAGACGGGAACTGCAACATTCTTTGAGGATGTTGAGTTTGGGGGGAGAAATAAGGTTAGAGACGTTGCTTTTGAGGAGGAATTGGCTTCATATCCAATCCATACAGTTACTTTTGACAATGTTCAGGTTCCTATACCTGTTGTTGCTCAAGAAGTAAATCCGGAACCTCAAGATGATAATGTTGAACAACTCCCTGTTCCAGAAGAACAAACTCAACAACCTCAAGAACCAGTGCCATTAAGGAGATCCACGAGAGAAAGGAGAAATGCTATTTCGGATGATTATATTGTATTTCTTCAAGAACATGAGGAAAGTAGTGGAATGTTGGAAGATGATCCAATCAACTTCTCTCAGGCCATGAAAAGTTCTAACTCTCAACAGTGGATTGATGCCATGAATGAAGAGTACAAGTCTATGCAAGACAATAAGGTTTGGGAACTTGTCCCATTACCAGAAGTTGCAAAACCAATTGGTTGTAAATGGATTTTTAAGACCAAACGGGATGCAAACGGTAATGTGGAGAGGTATAAGGCACGCCTTATGGCTAAAGGTTATACTCAAAAGGAAGGCATTGATTATACAGAGACTTTCTCTCCGGTTTCATCGAAAAACTCTTTTAGAATAATCATGGCACTTGTTACTCATTATGATCTTGAGTTACATCAGATGGATGTTAAGACTGCATTTTCATGGCACTTGTTACTCATTATGATCTTGAGTTACATCAGATGGATGTTAAGACTGCATTTCTCAATGGAGACATTGATGAGATGATTTATATGGTGCAACCAGAAAACTTTGTGTCAGAAGATCCAAAGAATATGGTCTGCAAATTAAGGAAATTTATCTATGGACTCAAGCAAGCTCCTCGTTAATGGCATCATAAGTTTCAACAAATAATTGTCTCATTTGGTTTTGAGATGAACATTGTTGATGACTGTGTATATCACAAGTTCAGTGGGAGTAAGTATATCTTTTTGGTTCTGTATGTCGATGACATATTGCTTGCCACTAATGATATAGGCATGCTGCACGAAACCAAGAGATTTCTATCAAAGAATTTTGATATGAAAGATCTTGGGGACGCCTCTTTTATATTAGGGATCCAGATACATCGAAATCGCTCTCGGGGTATTCTTGGATTATCACAAAAGAGCTATATCGATAAGGTACTTAAAAGGTTTGACATGCAAGATTGCAGACCAGGTGACACCCCTGTTGCTAAAGGAGACAAGTTTAGTCTTAATCAGTGCCCTAAAGGTAACCTTGAAATTCAGGAAATGCAGAAGATTCCTTATGCTTCGGCTGTAGGAAGTCTAATGTATGCTCAGGTATGTACGCGTCCGGATATTGCGTACATTGTTGGGATGTTAGGCAGATACTTAAGTAACCCTGGTATGGATCATTGGATAGCAGTCAAAAGGGTTATGAGGTATCTTCAGAAAACAAAAGATTACATGCTCACATACAGAAAATTAGAACGGTTAGAGGTCATTGGGTATTCGGACTCTGATTTTGCTGGATGCCAAGATAGCAGGAAGTCTACATAAGGCTACATTTATATGTTAGCAGGAGGAGATATATCATGGAAAAGTGTCAAACAGATACTAGTAGCTTCCTCCACTATGGCAGCAGAATTTGTAGCTTGCTATGAGGCATCCAATTAATCAGGGAATATGGCTGCGAAATTTTGTCACGGGACTGCGCATTTTGGAAAATGTTAAAAGACCACTAAGGTTATATTGTGACAATAAATCTGCAGTAATGTATTCCAATAACAACAGGAGCTCAACTAAGTCAAAACATATTGACATTAAGTTCCTGGTTGTGAAAGAAAGGGTACAGAGTGGACAGATATCCATAGAGCACATTGGGACAAACTCCATGATAGCTGATCCTCTTACTAAGGGATTGCCACCTAAGGTCTTTCATGAGCATACTGCTCATATGGGTGTGGTATTATTTGAGGATATTATGTTTTAGTGGGAGTTTGTATTTGTGGTGCTTTATGTTTGTTTGTATTGTCTGATCAGAATAAAGTTTTCAGTTAAGACACTCTGTTACATTATGTTTGGTTTTGACCTCACTAAGGAGGACCAGTTGAAAATAGACATGTACTGATCACATTGCATGTAATTTTCATGCTGCACATCCATGATTGATCTATGTCGTTTGATTGTATTGGTATATGTGACCATTGATGGGTCGAGTCACGATAAATGTGACGAAGGCCGCTTTGATCCTATATTGATATAGTCAAATTGTGATTTGTTGAGGGGCCAAATTACAAAAGTACAACATCTATAAATAAGGGGTTATGGTCCCTAACCTAGGGTTACATTCTCTAATTCTCTTCACCCCCATCTAGAGAGAAATTCGGCTAGAGAGAACCCTAAGGTTAGAAGATCAAAACCCATCTCAAGTTTAAGTAATTGATTCAGGTATAAGCTTGCTCTTTTATGATTCTTGTTAATCTCTTCGAATTAATCATGGCTATATGGTTTTAGATCTCAAGTTTTATGATTTAGATCTAACATACATTGCTAGGAATCAACTTCAAGTTTCTTACATATCAACAAAAGACAATGCGGCATATATAATGACAAAGGTCTTACCGGGTCCTCAGTTTGCATTACTTCGGAGCAAGCTGTGACTCCAAGAACGTCCAGCATATTGAATATTTTCTACAGTTGTTATGAAGATAGTTCATCTTCTATCTTGATGTCCAATATCCCCCTCCATTACTCTCTCTTATTAACTCATGGAATCAACTTTCACTTTTGTATATAACTCATGCAAACTCATCTCCTTCAACTTTTGTAACTGCTCTAAATGATTATAAATGGAAACTCTCTTCACCTGAGAGAAAGTAAGTGCTTGTAAACTGATAACTAAAGATGAAGGGGTTTTGTGATAACACCTAAAGTTAAGATGAGCTTCAGAAATTTTGAAAGTTGTGTGTGAGTAATCCTTTAGGAATATACTATTTGCGCAAAACATGTATAGTTTCCTCAATTAATTAAGACAAATAAGCGGGGCTACAAGTGACTGTAGATAAATTAACATAACTCGAATTTAATCAAAAATTTGGCCCTATTGAAAAATATATCCATCATACTGCATGTATTCTGTTCTAATCAAAAAATTTATGCATGAACTTAAAAACAATAGACTTTAAATGCGAACAGAAAAAATAAAAAAAAGAGTTTGGATCTCACCCAAGTAAACACGAATAGAACATAAAACCCAACAAAAATTGGTTTAATAGTAAGATTTAGTTGATACAATGAATCCAACCAATTAGAGAAGACCAGTCTGAACCTTCATAAAAAGAATTGAATTTTCGATTAAAAATGTTAGACCAAACCAAACCTAATCTATTTGCGACTCCGTATAAGAAAGCACAGATTTTTTTTTTTTTAATTAAATTTTTGAATCATCAATAGCGGGTCGGGTCGGGTCGGGTCGAACTTTAATAAAGAATCCATGCATGTCAACCATGCACCTTTTCCAGCCCAACGACGCACTTTTTGTAAGGTTAGATATTGCCCTTCTTGCCATCTTGCGGCCTAAAACCCATCTTTGGGATCCACCACCATCCGCATGCATGCAATGTACATGCCCATCTTCATCCAATCACTATGCGCATACATTCATCAACCACTCATCCATCCATTTGACCTCGTGTTAACTTATCCTCCCTATCCTAATTTACCTTAACTTGTTTCATAAATAAACGACAAAATGATAACTGCAAATCCCGACGTCCACGTCCGATTCCCATACAATCCAAACAACGCCTACGGAACACCAGAACACTGATCTCCCTAGATTTTATCCCGCGCGTCTCGGGATCATCAACAGGCGCAAGACTCTCCCTCTTGTAAAGCGCGAAAAGACCTCAACCGTCCGATCTTTCAGCGATCTGCTGACGTGTAATCACTCTCAGCCGTCCACTTTATTCTGCTGCTGGGCTTTACAGCTCGCAAACAAAAGAGGCCGAGTTTATTCCCACCAACCATCATTTCCAAAATTCCCCTCTTCACCGTCGGAGGCGAAACTTTGTGTCGGTTGCGGCGAAACGTTCCTCGTGTCGGCGATACTTTTTGCCCCGTTATTTTTTTCGTGGCGGTATCGGGCTAGGGTTTTCGAGCTGGATCAAGGAGGTGATTTAGGGTTTTACTGCGGGGAGTTCTGGTGTGATCTCATGGATTCGGGCGCCAGAAACGAGAAACGTATCCTTGATTCAGTCTGTTTGAGCCGTTATTATGGATTTTCTTTTTCTTTTAAGTTTGATTTGATGATTGTTTGTTAGGGAATTGGTCAGATCTGATGAACTTAAAGGCGTATGGTTGATTGAGGGTTTTGGTTTGTTTAGGTATTTATTGGATTGAGGTTGATCAAGGGTTGATGAAGGGTTTTTGGATGCGAAACGGATGTTTTTGAAATTTTCATGTGGAATTACGGTTGAAATATTGTTTTTACCTGTGTATGTTGATTTTATTGCAGTTAAAACCTGTTCAGTTAGAAAAGATCTTCATTGGTAGATGACCATTTCTTTGATTTTAATCATTCTTTACAAATTTGCATGTTATCCAGGGTTTATGTGGGCTTGGGTTGATTTTATTGCGCCTAAATCTCTTCAATTAGAAGAGATCTTTGTTGTCAGGGCCTAGATTCAATGATTATTTCCTAATTTTTTATTTGATTTTACAAATTTTCAGGATATCTAGGTTTTATGTGGGATTAGGTTGCTTTTATTGTGGTTAATCTGTTCAATTAGAAGAGATCTTAATCAGTAGGGCCTAGAATTCGTGATTATTTCTCATAATTTTAATCAGGTCCTTTGAAGTTTAAGAGGAATCTAGCTTTTATATGTTTTTTGCTAGACTTCTGTTGGATGAACCGAGCAGGATGGATTTGTTTTATGGTTTTTTGTTGTGTTTTTGGTAGTCATTTTTATATGGGAGTTGCAAGCGTTTTGATATCATGAATCTATTTATTTGCTTATCAATGGAGTCTATGAATAAAGAAAATAACTCACATGATGTTTCCTCCCTTGTTAAATTTCTTTAACTCTTGTTTCCAACCCAGCTATTGAAGAGTCGATGAAAAGCTTAAAAATTGATACTGCTTCAAAAAAATGCGAGACCAATTTGGTAAATTTAAGATTTGAATTCAGAAACTTCATTTCAGTACGTATTTAATTTTACATAGTACTTTGCGGAAATTTTCATCATTTGACAATGGTACTTCTCATCTTATTTCTTAGTCTGGTCCAAGAGAAGCGAGCCCGTTTGATGCAACATCTTGCATGTCCTCTACAGGCAGCATCAAAGGGAGCGAGGTTGACCGAGAGACTACTATGGGAGATCAGGGGATGTATTATTATGGGTACTGCTATCCAGGTTCGTTGTAATTATTCTATTCAATTATGAACTGAATATTTTTTAGAAAGCCATTCAGATTCTGATCATATAGTCAAAATTACAGGATACAGTGGTTCAATTGGTGAGTGGGATGATCAGGGTTACTATATGCCAGCTGAGAACTTCGAGATGCAACCCTCTGTATGTTTATATCTTGTATTTACTTTTGCCAGGACAGGTTGTCTTCATATTTAGCCTGATATTTGTTTGGGCAGAAGTATTTTAGTAACAGTGCATAATTACTGTTTACATGGTTCGTGAAGGACAAACTTATGCGTAAATGGGTGCCATGTCATTGTCATTTAAGCATCTCCTTTATTTGTTAGGGTAAAGATGGGAAACCCCACCTCTCCCTTTATTTCCTCTTTCAGTTTGCACTCCTTTTAAGTCTTGAATTGGTGACCTATCCTGTACGAGTCAAGCCCTCTTACGAGCTTGCTTCCATCATTGGTTTAGGCATCTTATTCTTTTAATACTAAATCAATATTTTAATAGTTGATATGTAAACTTGATAAAGATGGGACATATTAATATTTTGAAAACTTGCATATTCTTATCAAGTAATATAGGTTTTCGTCTTTTGTATATCAAAGCCTGCTCAACATTTGAATATCTTGAAAACTCACATCTTCTTATCAAGTAATATAGGGTTTTGTCTTCCGTATATCAAAGCCTGCTCAACTAATCCTAGAACTTCTACTAACACTAATTTCAGTTTTCACATGTTTGTTTTATACCAGCTATCAATTATTATATATCCTTTGGTTTGTTGGCTTTTGGCTATCCCGCTGTTAAAACTGTCATTGATTCTTTGTCATTTTAACCAACAACAGTACAGCCTCATCCCAACAAAACATTTTGATAGGTGTTCTCTCTACTACAGTATTTCTACTAAGTTATTTTGGTCAGTACAACATACTAACTCATGTTTGAATAATTGTTTGAATTCTTTAATAGGCTTACGTTGCTAATTTCTCTTCTGACTGTGAAAAACACCGTGTTAATATCAATAACGGAAACTGAAGGAAATACATTGTAGTTAGATCTTCAAGTTATCACAAAGTTCCACAATTTCTTGACATTTTTAACGGACTTAAATTAAAACCCCTTCATTTTAGTGCATACCGCCTGCTTGTCTTGTATACATTTGTGTTTGTTAATTTGTGCATATGATTCGGTGGACAAATAGTTAAGCTTATATGTGTTTCTCTCTCATATCAGGCTGCTCAAGCAGAAAATGGGTCAGTGCTATACTATTTACCCGGGTATCAACCTGGCTATGCTTCTTACAATCCCATCATTCCCGGAGCATTTGTTGGTGCTGATGGGCAATATTTGGTTCAACAGTCATATTACCCAAATCCAATGATACAGCAGCCCCCTACATCTCCAGGTTTTGCTTATGGACCAGATCTGGTTCCAGCATGCCCATGGGATTCATCTCTTCTCTTTGCCAATGGGCTTCAATTGCATGGGGTTTATGGAGATACAACAATTCCAGCTTCAAAATCTAATTTATCTTCCCGAAGTCAAACATTTATTTCTTCCAAAACTTCAACCTCCTCAAAGTCTTCAACTTCTGAGTCAAAAGGAAGTTCACTGGGATTGGATGTGAAATCAACTACTACAGTTCCAAAGCATTCCCTCAAGCCTGTAAATAAGGTACCCTTCTCATTCTAACTTTCCTATGTGCTTCTGTGACAATATGCATTTTGTAACAGCTATTTGAGCATGTTTTTGAATAATTGTAATGTTACATTGCCATCTTAGGGAGCTCCTCCTGTATTCTCCAAAGGTTATATCCCCATTAACAAGCTTCCGGCATATGCCCAAGGGAAAAGCGGAGTATTCTATCCAAACAGCCCTATGAACATTAAAGAAAGTGGCAGAAATTGGGTTGGGGCTGAGAAGGCGAGAGCCAGGACTAAACTTCATGAACTTGGCGATTTTGATGATTTTGATCTAAATGAACAAAATCGAGGTCCAAGAACAAACAACAACAAGAACGCCTTGGATGCTGGGGTTAATCTAGTTGGTTCTCCAGGTACTGGGAAAAATGAGAACGATAGCACTCTAATCACCAGAATAAAGAAGGATATGTATAACCTTCCAGATTTCCCAACAGAGTACGAACATGCATTATTCTTTGTTATAAAGTCATACAGCGAAGATGATATCCATAAGAGTATAAAGTACAATGTCTGGGCAAGCACTCCAAATGGAAATAGAAGGCTTGATAATGCTTTTCAACTTGCTCAAGAGAAGAAGGCTGAGAAGGGAAGCAAGTGTCCAGTGTTCCTTTTCTTTTCTGTAAGCTTCTCTATCTTTTCATATCAGGATAGTGGATCATACTAGAGCTTTGATTATCTTTTATTCGATGCTGTTTATCTTTTATTCAATCTCATTATCATTTTGATAGTAGGAGGCAGTGAAGTACTGAAACTGTGGCCCACTTGACTTCTTGACGCCTCCCAATGCCCTGCATGGTGCGGGACGGTCTGATAGAATTCATATTCTTCTCATAGTTAGTATTTTTCTAGAATAAATGGTGATATTTAGCATCACATGCGGCAGGAGTGTATTGTTTGAGACTCTTTAGAATATAGCCGAGTTAATTATTAACTATAAGCTGGAGTAACACTTTAGAATATAGCTAACTATTAACTAGCTGGAGTAACACTATGTGATATTGCGTGAATGACAATTTTTTGAGACTCTTTATAATGTAGCTGAGTTAATTATATTAACTACAAGCTGGAGTAACACTACTTTGTGATATTGCGTGAATGACAATTTTTTTGACTGCATGGCAGCTTCTCGTTTATAATATGTGTGTGCAGACCAGCAGTTAATCTGTCTCTTTCTTTACATTTCTCTCTATCTAATGTTAGGTCAATGCTAGCGGCCAATTCTGTGGTGTAGCTGAAATGTTAGATCATGTAGATTTCAACAAGAACATGGACTTTTGGCAACAGGACAAGTGGAATGGCTTCTTTCCAGTAAAATGGCATGTTATCAAGGATGTCCCAAATCCTCAATTTCGTCATATATTATTGGAGAACAATGAAAATAAGCCTGTTACAAACAGCAGAGACACACAGGAGGTATTCCCTCCTAACCTATTACTGCCAGCCAGCTATTGTTATAGTTTTTCGCTTTCTATTCCTATTGTACATGGATCATTTCTCAGGATACATTTATAACTTGAAATCTATTATTTTCTCTGTTGAAAGTCTAAAATTTGGTCACTGTTGGTGATGGATAACCCTAATAAAGGGGTAATCACGAAACTGGAGTAGGATTGGCACTTACATGATTTACCATATCCTCCATGCCCTCTCCAGCACACAAATTGATATTTGACGCATACACTCGTACCCACAAACTCCTAAATCCTACCTCGACACCTACAATGATGCATACACCCATCTCCTCGACGCACTTTCTTTATTAAAATCTATAACTATAAGATGTAGTCCTCAATTAACTACCTCGACACCTACAATGATGCATTGATTTTAACATTATATCTTTGTTCAGTAATATCGAAAGTAGTGTGTATTGTACCTCCCATCCATCAAAAGCTTAAATTATGTGTTTTTGATATTATTATATATCAGTTCTTGCTTTTCATCCTAGTCCTAATGATTCTCGAATTTTATATTTATGGAAAAAAGTAAACTGGATAGGAAATTTCTTGTTTGCTCGCTTATTTGAATGTTTCAATGGCTGGAATATTACGTAAGGTTTGATCTAGTTGGGCAGCATTCACATTTATGTTTAATATATCCATGTCATCTATTTATTGGCTCATAACCTTATGCTTATCTTGTATCAGGTGAAATTTCCACAAGGGATTGAAATTTTGAACATATTCAAGAACTACTCATCCAAAACTTCCATATTGGATGACTTTGATTTTTATGAGAACCGGCAGAAGGTCATGCAGCATAAGAGGAGTAAGCCGCCGATCCCGAATTTTGACCTTCCATCGGTAATGTCTACTGTCTTATTCATGTTATAATTTACACTTGTCTACGAATTTTGATACTGCATGGATTATTATCCATTAATGTTCCTTCTATTGGATACTTACTGAACTCCACCAAATTGTTAATGATACTTTGAATGCGAGAGAACCGCATGAATTTTGTTATTTGATTATGGCACAAAATAATGCACCCTTTTAAAGAATGGAGACTGATAATCAGAGTGAACAGTCGTCAAGAAAAATTTATGTTCTTTTGAGTATGTGTTTCGTTCATTTTTATTCAAAGGCCTTACTTTTTTCTATGTTTTATAACGTGTACAGCTCAAAGTTGAAGAATTGTCACAGGTCTCAAAGCCAGATGATGATCTGAAGTCTGTTTCAAACCCTCAATCTGTAGAAGCTGTGTTGTTGGCCGTGGATGTGGCAGAATAATGACTCCTCAATTGGAAGCTTGGCTTGCTTGTCTCTGCTGTCATTAGCTCATAATTATTGGCGTTACTGAACAATGCCATTCTTCGAGGATTCAGTTTGTTGTTTGCCTGACAATCCGTTGAAAGATTAACTTCTAATTTGTACAGGAAGAAAGGGGTTAGTGTTCAAGAAAATCTCCCCAAGAGCATCGGGTGCCATGATTGGGCTGAGATCATTGTTGCCGATCAGCAACAGCTTGCAGGAATCACCGCTGCAGTTTATAGATCATTTCCCCCCTTTGTTCTCTCGCATGATTTCCTTTTCTGTTTGTTGGCATTTTTTTGGCCTTTTGTTTCTCTTTCCATTGTTGGGCTTGTGATGGTTGGTCAAGTTTCTTTGGTGTCCGTATTGGTTCCATGGGTTGGGAAATGATGCCTATGGAGCTTGTTCCTTCATTACTGTTGTAAAGTTCAAAAAGAAAAGGAAAAAAATAAAAAAGAAAAGAAAAATGACCCAAGTTATTTGCTTGGCATATTCAGTTGTCTTTTTCCCCCCTCTTTCACCGATCTCCTATATTATTCTATGTTCTTCTCTCGTGAGCTCATTCTCTAGTCTCTTCCTTGATATTAAATTATTATTATTTAAGCAGAACCAAGGATTGTGTTAAAGTCAGCAATCAAAGAAGTTCTTGCATAAATATTGTGTGGACAAATTCTCAAAACCAATTCTATTTGAGATTTATTTGTAAAAACCAATCTACTTGAGATTTATTTAGCATTTTCGATTTAGTTTTAGTACAGTTAGTTGAATTTGGGTTGAAAATGCTAAATAAGTTATGAAAACTTTATGAGATTTAAAATCTCGTAAAGTTTAGTGCTTAATTAATTAATGCTAAACAAATAAGGTTACAGAAACTTTACAAGATTTTTGTTTAGTGTTGATTAATTTTTTTTGAAGCCAAAAACAGGGCGAAAAGCCCTGTTCATAAAAAATATATTTATATCACAACCAGAATATATATTTGAACCTGAGTTTACCAAAAAAGGAGGAGGAGGAAAGTACAATAGATGTAGACGGAGGAGAGCGGACCTTTGTCGTCATCCTCCAGTCTACACCTATCGTGCTTCCAAGCCTTCCTTAATCCAGGAGAACTCAAAAAATCAAAAAAGAAAACCAGAAGTTGCTAATAGAAACCAACGTAACAAAAACTGATTACAAATACATTACCAAAACACATTTCCACAACTTGATAAGCCAAAGAACTCAGGATGAGCTGAGGACTGCTAGAACCGAAGGAAGCTATTGTCCCAATAGCAGAGATTACTGGGGAACTAACAAAAACTGAAATTTCCAAAACCAAAAGGATCTCCTGGGGACCCGAACCCTTAAGGATGATTTTCTTCGAAGTTTTCATTCCGAGAAGATTCCGCTATCGCTGGCAGACCAGAGTTTATTGCCGCATTAAGCATCCTCTGTGATTTTTTGCTCTTAGAAGCCCCTGTCCAGTAGAGAACAAAGCGGGAAGAATTAGCTGCAATAGAGGAGGGAGAAGAGAGAGTATTATTGAAAATAAAGTTGTTGCGGCTCCTCCAAATGCACCAGCATGTACAGGGAAACAAAATCCTCCATAAAGCTTTATGATTCTGATTGACCAAGAACTCTTCTTTGCCTTTAATCAAACTTGTTACCTCCTGAGGCCATAAGCTGGTGGAAGAAGATGGTAGCAAGATGGCCCATACAGCTTGGGTAAAGGGACACGATATAAACAGGTGATCATGGGTTTCCATCATCTGGCTACAAAGTGGGCAAGATAAGTCACCCGTCCAACCTTTTTTGAGCAAATTATCCTTTGTTTGAAGCTTTTTCTTGCTTAGAATCCACAGGAAGGTTTTAACCTTGAGGGGGATAGGGGTTTTCCAAATGAAATTGTGGAAAGGGGATAAAATGCCTCCTTTGATGAGGATGTCGTATAACGATTTCACCGAAAATGAATTAGATGGATTGAGAGGCCATAGAATGGTATCAAATTTGTCGGGATCAGGCCTGATATGATTAATGAAGGCAGATAGGTCGGAGATATCTTTTTTGTCTTCTATGGAGATGCCTCTCCTCAAAATAGGTTTCCATATCCAAACATTATTCTGCCATGAACCTTGGGAGCTGATAAGGCTAGACTGAGAGAAAGCTAGATAGAAAGCTTTGGGGAATAAGCTGCTGAGGGAGTTGATACCCGCCCACCTGTCCAACCAGAACTTGCATGAATCTCCTGATCCTATTCTCCATTTGACAAAGCTTATGAAAGTTGGGTAAACTGTTTTGAGATCAAGAATGAACCTGGATGCATTGCTTCTAGGATTTACAATAGGATTAGGTGATCTGGAAGGATAGATGGAGAAGATGACTTTACTGATGAGACTCTCTCTATCTAAGATTTTCCAAATCCACTTGGCAAGGAGAGCTAGATTAAAGAGTTCCAAGTTTTTAACTCCTAGACCCCCCTCAGTTTTATCTTTACAGACTATATCCCATCTGACAAGGTTTTTGATTTTAGATGGTTGAGAATTTCCTCCCCACAGAAAGCTCCTTCTAATCTTGTCGATCTCACGGATGACCCAGCGAGGAAGTTTGAAGAAAGACATGTAGTAGAGAGGAATAGAGGACAAGACCGAGTTGATGAGGGTAAGTCTACCTCCAATAGATAGAGATTTATTTTTCCACATGGCCAACTTCCTAGAGAAGGAGTTTAGGAGGGGTTGCCAGTCTCTCCTTGAGAGAGATCCTTTTTTGAGGGGGAGACCAAGATAGGTAAAAGGGAGAGAACCAACTGGGCAATTAAGAATAGATGCTAGATGGGCTCCTTTATTAGGAATTCTACCTAGATAAAAGAGATGGGATTTGAGGTAGTTGACTTTGAGACCTGAGATATTGGCAAAGATGAGCAGGATGTTTTTGAGAACACTGATATCGGTGTTAGAAGCTTTGCAAAATAAGAGAGTGTCGTCCGCAAATTGGAGAGTCCTAATGGCTTGGAGGTCACCATTTAGATTCAGAGCAGAGAGATCTCCTGCATCAACACTGTTTAGTGTTGATTAATTTAGCACTAGACTTTACGAGATTCTAAATCCCATGAAGTTTTTGTAATTTATTTAACATTTTCGATTAGCTGGCTGAAACTAGGTTGAAAATGCTAAATAAAAGATAAATAGGTCAATTTTAGAAAATGAAGTTCCAAATGAGTTGGTTTGGAAAATTTGTCCGTGTTGATGGCTTTAGGTATGGTAAAGTTATACATATACTGGGTTTCTATTAAGGCCAAGTTTTACAAAACATGTTCTACACAAATATCTCTATTATTTTTTTTTCCCTTTTTTATTTTTGGGTACATACATTCCCTAAAGAACCATGCATATTTGCATTACTACTTTTTAAATCTTAATATTTGTAAAATTACCTTCAAATCTTGAACTTTGAAAAAAGATATCGCTAAATTAATAAATCATCCACTTTGTTGGCAGTGATGAGTAACAATTTCACTATTTTGTTGATGCTTTTACGTTATAATTACAAATTAAGTTATCAAAGTTAATGATTTGTTTATTTGAAAATTTTTTGTCCCAAAGTTAACAACAGGACCCATGGTTTAATTATTAGCACCAGTTGGTGCATTTTATAGAAGAATTATTTATATTATTTTTCATCAAGTTGCGCTATTGGTGGGCAATATGTTGGTAATAAAAAACATATAAAGAAAAAAGTTTGATCAAAATGGGTGCAAGGTGAATTACAAAAACTACTATTAAGCCCGCGTGTTACTTCAGATATTATTATTTTTAGGTGTATCTATTGTTAAATTGATAATATGATTTTTGTATATAACTATTCATATCAACTATAAAACTTTCACTACTATTAAAGTAGTGAATCTTCCAATCAGTTAACAAAATAATATTCAAATTAGCAAGTTTTATCAATTTTTTTTAATAGGTACAGAAAAGATTTTTATATGTGAAATGTCTGCAAGAACAAAAAAAAAGAAGAAGATATGAACAATATTTTTAAGGTTAGAAAATATTACTTTAGGTTGACAGGGGCCAAAGGGTAAAAATTTTTATTGTAGCATGAACAGTGTTTTCAAGGCTCAAAAATTCTATTTTTGTTTTGACAGGGCCATTTAGTTTCAAAATTTACTGTAGCATGAACAATATTTAAGACTTAAGATTGTGTTGTTGCTTGAAGGGAGGTTTAATATTTTGAATCAAAATGTAGCACGAATAGTATTTACTGTAGTATGAACATTTATTTAAAGGTCAATTGTAGAAACTATTTTGATAATATTTTGTATTTGTTGGTGTGACGCCCCTGGGCTCACACAAGGCTGCAGTCCAAGGTGAAACCAAGAATGTCAAACCTGCCATGCACCATACCGTGCAATAAAGGTGAAACCAAGAATGTCAAACCTGCCATGCACCATACCGTGCAATAACATGTTTCACCATCACAATTACTATCTCTCTAGTAGAGTCAAATAACAGGTGTAGGTACAAAAGCAAGTAAAAGATAATACAAGGGTCAACTGATGAAATAATGAAGATCAAATTAATATTTCATCATCTAACATACTGAAGTATAAGTCAATGTCTAAAATGAATAACTGGAACTTCTCAACAAGTCTTAAATACAAATGTCTGAATAAAAGGAAATAAGGCACACAGCCTTTACAACTTCTAGAAGTAAACTCTCAAAATGTCTATACAAAATCCTACAGTGGAGCTCAAAAGTAAAATACAACTATAATAGAATAACTGAAGCTAGAGTGCCTCGCCATCAACCTGCGACTCTCCGGGCTCCTGGCTCGTTACCTGAAAGGGGGAGGGACAACGAGCGTCAAAGCGCTAGCGAGCAACATCACAACCAACCCCAAGGAAAAGGGCTCATTGTATACAGAAAATACAGATATAATATATATATAAAATCACAAATCCTATTTAGATATTTGCAACGTGAGCATAAGTACGTCGAGCGAAATAATCCAAACAAGAAAACCCTCATGTATATACCATGTAGCTCAGATTGTAAATACCTATGTATAAGATGATTTTAGTATTTAGGAAGTTACAACACGAGCATAGGTACGTCGAGCGAAATAATCCAAATAAGGAAACCCTCATGTATATACCTTGTATCTCAAATTGTACCTCCCTACATACCAAACCCAAAATCTAATACAAGAACATTAATAAAAGAAGGTAAATCATCTCAGACTTGATTTCGGTGTCGTATCAACTCATATAAATGTCGTGTCCAGCCTATGCAAGTATAATGTCAACTCAAGGTCTAAACTAGCATCCAACACATGGACTAATAGGTAAATGTCCAACACGAGGACTGGAATGGATTATAGTCCAACACGAGGACTTCAATGGATTATAGTCCAACACAAGGACTTCAATGGATTATAGTCCAACACGAGGACTGAACAAACTATGCTAATATCAAAGTGATATATAATAAGATAATCTTCACAAATTTTCA